ATCAAAACAATATTGAGATACCACCTCACCCCAGTTAGAATGGCTATAATCAAGAACTCTAATAACAACAGATGCTGGAGATGTGGACAGAAGGGAACCTTACTGCACTGTTGGTGGGACTGTAAACTTGTTCAACCACTTTGGAAACCAGTATGGAGGTTCCGCAAAAGACTCTACATAGAGCTCCCCTATGACCCAGCAATCACACTTTTGGGCATTTACCCAAATGATCACAAACAAGACCATACTAAAGCTACCAGCATGACTATGTTTATTGCAGCATTATTTACCATAGCTAAGATATGGAACCAACTCAGATGCCCCTCAGTAGATGAATGGATCAAGAAAATGTGGTACATATACACAATGGAATTCTATGCCTCCATCAGAAAGAATGACATTGCCCCATTTGCTAGGAAATGGAAAGACTTGGAAAAAATTATATTAAGTGAAGTAAGCCAGGCCCAAAGAAACATAGGTCTCATGGTTTCCCTTATTTGCAATAACTAGTATATGTCTGAGACAAGCAGAAACTGTCAGATAAGTTGATGTTAGGCAAAATGAACCCCAAGATAAGGATTCAAATGGTTTTTCTTTCTCGCTATTGTTTCTAACATGTTTATAATGTACCATGTGGTTTTTTTGTTGCTTTGCATGTACCTCCCCCACAGTATAACCCCTGCTTTCACTGTATTTAATGTAGATATAATTTGTGGAAGGGAAGGGAAAAAACAAATCATTTAAATAGGGATACAGGTGGACCCATTGCAACAATGAGATGTACAAGTGGTTAGGTAGAAAAACAACATACAACTTTGGCCGGGGTGGGGCGGGGGGCGGGGGGGGGGGGGCGAAGGAGGGGGGTGGAGGTGGGAAGGGATAACAAAGGAGGAGTCAACAATGCTTGATAAGAAAAGTACTCATTACCTTGCTCATTACCTTGCTCATGTAATTGTAACCCCTCTGTACGGTATTTTCACACACACAAAAAAAAAACCAGAAACACGAAATGCCACTTTATAACACCAATAGTAGCGTGTAATTTATATTTATTACTGTGTGATTTTGTCTTATATTTTAATAATTTGTAAATTGATCTCTGATCCCAAGAATCCTCTGGACTCAAAGGAGAGTATCTGGAGATCCAACGCCCGTCCCCTGCCTGGCCCCTGCTTTTCTGGACTCTTTTAATCCACTTTGGGATGAATCAAAGAGCCCAGTGAGACCACTAGTGAGGTCTTCTAGCAGGTCTCCTGACTCGAGACTTCCTGGAATTGGGACCGTTCGTACCCACCCTTGCTGTGAACATGACCAGACACATTATTTGTAATTCAGCCATTCAAAATGTACCTGTATTCAAAAAGTCCTGTCTAGGGCTGGAATGTGGTTTAGTTGTAGAATGCTTGCCTAGCATCCATGAAGCCCTGGGTTCAATTCTTCAGTACCACATAAACAGAAAAAGCACTGTGGTTCAAGAAGTAGAATACTAGCCTTGAGCAAAAGAAGCTCTGGATGAGTGTCCAGGCCCTGAGTTCAAGACCCAAAACTGGCAAAACAAACAACAAAACCCACCTTTTTTGTTTTGTTTCGCTGTGGGGATTGAACTTGGAACTCTGGGCCTAAGTGCTGTCCCTGAACTCTTCAGCTCAAGGAAAGCACTCTACCACTTGAGTCACACATAGTACCACTTCCGGTTTTCTGATGGTTAATTGGAGATAAGTCTCACGGACTTTCCTGCCTGGGCTGGCCTTGAACCAGGATTCTTAGATCTCAGACTCCTAAGGAGCTAGGATTATAGGCCTAAGCCACCAGCACACAGCTATATTTTAAGTTTATTTTTCAGGTGAACAAAAAAATACATTCGAAGAACTCTGCCTAAAGAAAAAAAAAAAAAACAACCTTTACCTTATGCCATGCCATACATAAAAATTATCTTAAAGCCTGGCCGGTGGCTCATGCCTTTAAGCTACTCAGGAGGCTGAGATCTGAGGATCACGGTTCAAAGCCAGCCTGGGCAGGAAAGTCCGTGAGACTCTTATCTCCAATAAACCACTATAAAACCAGAAGTGGCGCTGTGGCTCAAGTGGTAGAGTGCTAGCCTTGCTTGAGCTGTAGAACTGACGGACAGTGCCCAAGCCCAGAGTTCAAGCCCCACGACCGGCAACAAAACAAAACAAAAAACCCCAATTATGTTAAAATGGCTTACAGAGCTAGTCACAAGACCTAAAACTGTTAACAGGTCTAGCAGAACACACAGAAAATCTTTGTGATTTAGGGATAAATATAGATTTATTAGCATAGATAGAAGAAACAATCACAAAGAAAAAAACTTAGTCATTTATCAAATGTCAAAATGTCTGTACTTTAAAAGGTGTCATATAGAGGGCTGAGGTGGGGCTAAAGTGGTAGAACAAGCAGAAAGCCCTGAATTCAAACCCAATAAATAAATAAACACAATAAATAAATAAATAGGATCACAAACAAAGCTGCAAGCTAGCGGAGAAATATTCATTATTTTTTTCTTAAAACTCAGTAGTGAACCCCAAATAAAAATGGGCAAAACATTTTAACATATATATTTCCCCCCAAAAGTTACAAAAATGTCAAGTTAAGTTTCTGAAAAAGAGTTCAACAGCATCAGGGAAAAGTAAAATCACAACCAGATGCCATGAGACATCCATTCAACTGGATAAAAATTTAAAAACTAACAATATCAAGCATAAAGATGTGGAGCAACTCAAATCTTCATTTTAAAAACTGCTGTTAAATGAAAAAGGATGTAGATATTTTGAATAAGTTTGACACTTTCAAGTTTCACATAAATTTAGCCTAAGACTCTGCAATTCTATCCCTAGACTTTTATCTAAGAGAAATGAAAATGTATGTTTAGACAGAATGTAATTGTAGATAGCAGCTTTATTCATAATACAGCAAACTTCAAAGCAACCTAGATGTTGATCAATAGGAACAGCTAAACAAATAGCATTTTCTTGTAGTAGAATTATACATCAGAAAGAAACTAAATAAATGAATCCAATTTTTAGGAAGCTAACATTTCAAAGTAACTGGAAAAATCTTTTCAAAATGCAAACTATTTATTCACAAATTTCACAACCAACAAACACTCGTTATATAAGACAACATACCAAATGTTAAGTACTCATTTCTCAAGATACCTGAATGCCTTTTGAGAATATTTATTATTTAATAAAATAATTATTTGATCATTCTAAAGCTGACCATTCTAATCCAGGCTCTTTCTGTGGTATAACCTAGGGAAAAAATATAATACTTCTTAAGGCAAGTGCTGACTTCAACTGTGTAAAGAAAGAGATAAGCATTCCACTAAAATAATTTTTTTAATCATCCTCACAAAAATGTAGGCCTAACAGTGTTAGGTAAGATTCTTTAACATACAGTAGCTAGCTAGCATTTATCTCTAACTGATAAAAAGTAATTTAGACCAATGATACCTTCCTGAGTGTCGGAAATAATAAGACCCAACAGTTCTAAATGATTGTACTACAAAGTACAATGTAAAAGTATCTATCCATGTTAGCAATTATAGGTCATGAATATAAGTACAGCCTTTTAATAAATTATTTTTTGATGTCCTGTTTAATTTCATTTGTATTTTTAATTTTTTTTTCTATTTTTGAGACAGGGTCTTGTATGTAGCCCAGACTGACCTCAAACTTAATAATCCTCTGTCTCAGCCTCACAAATGTTGGAATACAACCAGGCCTGGCCATAAACTACTTCTTTTAACATAACCCTCTCATACTTGTGGGATTAGACTATAAATCACATTCCAGTTTCTATGTATGTTTGCTTAAGTTATTCACTCATTGGCATTATAATGATATCCTTACTTTTTTATTTTTAGAAGAATCTTATTTAGTTATTTAAATTGTAATTATTTTTTCATTTCACTGACTAGATCTACAAAAAATAATCTAGAAAAGTAATTTAAAATCATCAGCTGGAAAGTTACAAGCAAAAAGTGTTTTCACATGACCAACAAAAAAAAAATGTTTGCAGGGTTCTCTATGCTTCTAAAAATAAAGAAAATAAACAGTGATTTTGAGTGCGATAATGTAGTACAACTTGTTGACATGTCTGTAACGCCATCGTCTTAAAAATGCACATTTAAAAAGTGACTACTATGGGCTAGGGATGTGGCTTAGTGGTAGAGTGCTTGCCTAGCATCCATCAAGCCCTGGCTTCGATTCCTCAGTACCACATACACAGAAAAAGCTCTAAGTGGTACTGGGGCTCAAGTGGTAGAGTGCTAGCTTTAGCAAAAGAAGCTCAGGGACAGTGCCCAGGCCCTGAGTTTAAATCCCAGGACTGGCAAGAAAAAAAAAAAAAAAACTACTAGTGGTAAAGAACTACACTGCCATGACAATAAAAAACATCATTTAACATTTACCAATATTTCACACATTTAACAAATACTAAAGGAGATGACTACTACTGGTACAGGTAATATCAAGACAAGCCAAGAGCAAATGGCCTACTCCTGTAATCCTAGCTACTCAGGATGTTGATAGCTAAGGATCATTGTTCAAAGCTAGCCCAGGTTAAAAAAAAAAAAAAAGTCCATGAGATTCTTATCTCTAATGAACCACCAAAGAACTAGAAGTGGAGCTGTGGCTCAAGTAGTAGAGAGTTGGCCTTGAGCAAAAAAATGCTAGAAGCCAGTACCCAGGCCTTTCAAGCCTCAGCTAGTACTGGCACAGAAGCACAAATCAGAATAGAAAGAAACACCAAGAATATGTACAGGATGTATACATTTGCATGCATTTTCAGGCAACCTTTCAAAGATTCTATATAGAACAAAATGATAACTTTCAATCAAAATGAATGGTAAAATTATTCAAGTTTTTTGAAGACTTAATTCAATAAAGATGGAAGCAGGAGGGATGAAAGAATAAATAATGGCAACATTTTTCTAGGAGGAAAAGAAACCATACATTCCCTTCACTATAAAACAAATGTCAATGGGTCAATACTTCAATAACTATCAAGTTATTCACTATCCAAGAATATACTTTTCAAGTTATACCTTTAAATGTAACCACTAACATTTCCAAATTAAACAAAGTTTATCACCAAACCACATTTTTCTCAGGAGTTTAACCTCAAGTATAAATCAACTTAAAAAGCACAGTCCAACAATACATAATAATTCTACCATTGTGTTTTTATATACCTCATCTGAAGAAAATGTATTTTATGGACAGGAGTCTTATCCTCTCTCCAGAGAGTGTGTGTATCTGTCTAAATGTTAAGCAGTAATCAGATAGACAGACTCAAATAACTTAAGGTGTGTACAGCTTCATCGGGCTTTGATAAAAACAGAGTTATCTGGTAGTGTGGCACCCTCCTCCTTCTCAGTTACAGTCTCTACTGTCCCAGAAGCTGACACAATAACCATTGTTTTATTTGCTGACACTGTCTTCTGCTTCTCAGCAATTGCTGCGCACACAGCCACAATTTCGTCACTTTCAAAGTCATAGTCAGGGATAGACTTGGGGGAAAACTGTGTTGCTCCAGATGGTGCTTCACTTTTTTTAACTCTTTGTGCTACCTTCTGCTGCTCCTGGAGGGTTCTTGCCCAAGAAAGGTCTTCTTGCCATATTTCAGGGTTCATCGGATAGATGTGAAGAGCTATTTGAAAACTTCGAATTGCCTAGGGGGGAAAAAAACAGGTCAGAATTTTTCATGTGTTCCTTTCTAAAACCCAGTATGCTTAAGATGATTATATGTGTGTGAGTATGTAGACTCATCGATACATACATACTCGAATGTATTACTGTGATATATTAGAGCATTAAGGATAGGGCTGGGAAGGTGGCTCAGTGGTAGAGTTTGCCTTGCATGCATGAGGTCCTGGGTTCGATACATAAGCAGAAAAAAAGCCAGAAGTGGCGCTGTGGCTCGAGTGGTACAGTGCTAGCCTTGAGCTGAAGAGCAGAGGTACAGGCCCATAACCAACAACAAAAACAACAACAACAACAAAAAGAACATAAAGGATAGAAGTTAGGCTTCTGCTATGACTGAGTAAATATATAAACACACACACACACACACACACACACACACACACACACAAACACACATGAGAGAGAAAGTGACAGATGAAATGCTGACAGACTAAGAGCCATTAAAACAAAAGTACTAGTACATATGTCTGCAACAAAGAGAATGTATTGTTCAGTTTCTGCAAATTAGCAAATATATAAACCTGGGGATTTCCTGGACCAAGTCCTAATAGCATGATACCAAGAAGACATACTACTGAAGTCAAGAGTTTATATCTTAACAATACTAACATTTATTGACGGTTACTGTATTCTAGCCACTATTCCCAAAGATCTATATGTAATAACACATATTTTCACAATTATTCTAAGAGGTTTTTATCCTAATTTACAGATGCACAGAGATCGGTTACTAAAAGCCTGGACTGGAAAGGGGCCAGGTTGGATGCAAACGCAGGCAGGATGGCCTCAGAGGCCATGCTCCTAATTATTTGTTACGCTTCCTAGTTAAAAGGACTCCACTTCAATGTGGATTCACGGCAACCTCGGCTCTCCTGACACATTGGCTTGGACCACTCTTTGTTCTATGTATTTTAGGATGTTCAACAATATTCCTCATCTCTATGCACTTACTGTGGGCAACATGCCCTTTCTGTTTGAGAAACACTGGTTTAAGTCAACTGTGGGGTTTCTCTGAGAACATGTGCTCTATGCAAAAGATCCTTACACAAAAAGGCTTATGCTGGGCACCAGTGGCTCACGCCTGTAATCCTAGCTACTCAGAAGGCTGAGACTGAAGATCTCGGTTCAAAGCCAGCCCGGGCAGGAAAACCCATAATACTCTTATCTCCAATTAACCACCAAAAACTGGAAGTGATGCTATGGCTCAAGTAGTAGAGCACTAGTCTTGAGCTGAAGAGCTCAGGGACAGCACCCAGGCCAGGCTCAGATTCAAGCCCACAACCGACCAAAAAACCCAAAAAACTTATTTTTGGATTTCACAGATACATGATCTGCTGTAGGTCCTTTACACATCATTATAAAGTGATGACTGTAGAGAGATGAAGAACACAGTTAAACAAAGCATATTATTTTTTTAATACTAAACTGAGCTTTTTTTTTTTTAACTGTATTTTTGTCTTTTCTTTTTTGGTACTGGGCATCAAACCCAAGGACGCTCTGACACTGAGCTACATCCCAACCCTAACCTGGGGCAAGAATGTCAGTCTTAAAAAAACTCTTTGGAAGAGTTAAAACAAAACAAAAAAAACAGGCTATACTTAGATCAGGCGCAATAACTCACACCTGTAATCCGACTCAGCAGGCAAGGTTTGAAGCCAGCCTGTACAGGCAAGTCCATGAGGCTCTTACCTCCCCTCAGCTACGGATAAAAAGCTGGAAGTGAAGCTGTGGACTCAAGTGAAGAATGCTAGCACTGTGCACAAAAGCTCAGGGACAGAACCCAAGCCCCGAGTTCAAGCTTCAGAAATGCAGTGCATACACGGGCATAACATATACCCACACACAGACAAATGTAGAAGGGGAATTGTGGTGTCATATAGCAGGCAGATGTTTCACTTTTCAAAAAACTGCTAGGTCATTTTCCAAAGTAGCCGTACCATTATCTATGCCATGAATAACATCATCTATCTTATGGATGATGGTAACAATTTCTCCTCATTCCTATAAACTTGTCTCCTTCTCTTGTCGGGGGAAGGTCTACCATATGTCCTCCTCTTCAGCTCAGCAGAATAAGTAGAAGAAAAAAATGTCCTAGCTCCGCATTCTCCCTGGGGAAGGACCAGCTGGCACTCACTGTGTTCAATGCTTCCACTTTTACAAGAGGGAACCAAAAGGAGTAGCACTATTGTTTAGATGTACTTTGTCCCACAAAGGTTTGTATGTTGGAATCTTGGGCCTCAATGTAACAATATGGGATCTTCAAGACATGGAGGACTAGAAGGTGGCTAGGCCACTGGGGGAACTGCCTGCGGAAGCGATGAATGCTTATAAAGTGAGTTTGGTTGGTTTGGTTTTATTTTGTGGTACTGAGAATTGAACTTTGTGCATGCTGACAGAGTATTCTATGGCTGTGCTACATCCCCAGTCTCCAGGTCTTCCTGTCCTTCCTTCCTTCCTTCCTTTTGTCCCTCCCTCCGTCCCTCTTTTTCAAAACAGTCTATGTATCTCAGGCTGGCTTTGAATTCATTATGCAGCCCAGACTGGCTGACCTCAAATATGCACTCTTCCTGCCTCCAGAGTCGGCATGTGCCATCAAACATTCTTACTAAAGCAAGCTATTTTAAAAGCGCAGTCCTGTATCCTAAATCCCAGTCCTGTTTCCTGACTCATCACATGTTCTCTCCCACTCCCACCCAATCCCACTATGTTGCCAGCAACTATGTTGCGGTACAGAGGCAACAGGGCCCTAGAAGGCCAAATTGATGGGGCCACCTGATCTTGGGTTTTCAGCCCTAAAGACTGTGAACTAAACAAACCTATGTCTTTTATAAGTTCCCAGCCCCATACATTTTGTTATAGGAATGGAACATGAACAGAACATGAACATAAACATGGCTTGGCTTGTTTCCCATGGTGTACTGTCGGGACTGGGAAAAAACTAACTGCCAGGGACTAGAATGCAATGTTTAGGCTGACAATTACTATAACTCCTATCCTTAGTGGAGCACAGAGTAAATAAAGAAGAAAACCAAGCCAAAACAAATCAAAACAAAACAACAAAACCCTCTACCTTCCAGTTTCTGCTTGGAAAGGAAAAGTCAATAACTAGTATGCCTAATGCCCAACTTTTTTCTAGAGCCATATGAAAAGAGTGATTTCTGTCTTACCTTTCTTACAAATCTATGACCTGGCATATCTAATCATCTAGGAAATAATGACAACAGAAACAGGACTTAGCCATAGCTCCACCCTCTGGCACAGAGCAACCAAATGCAAAACCCTAGCTCCTTGTTCACCCAGCTTCTCCTAGAGAGGAAGAGTCTTGGGTGGAGCATCCAAAAATTCACCTTCTAAACCTACCTTCAGTCTTGTTATGGTGTACTGACAGACCTCAAATAACAAATAAAACAAATTGTATTCATAGAAAGTTGTGAAAGGCCCTAGAATCTCTGGCCAAAATGACGACCCAAAATTACTAACTTGAGGTTAGTCTATGAAGTCTGAGACAATAGGCTGCTTTTGTCTAACCTGTAGTCCTCAACACAAAGAGGAATAGAAGAAGAATCAGAGAAATGTGTTACACATAAACAAAATAAATTTCTACAAACCAATTGCAAAGAAATGGAGTTTACAATTTACCTGAAAATTTTTTCAGAAGAATCCAAGATCAATGAGGTTGTAGGAAAATAAATAGAATTTCAATACAGATAAAAAATAAAGTACCACACAGATCATAAATTTGAAGCATTCTACACTAAAAAAAATTAATAATAATAACTAAAAGGGTTTAGTACCAGATTGCAGAAAGCATAAGAAATGATCAGTAAACCCAGAAAACGGTCATGAGAATTATTTGGTCAGAGAAGCAAAAAAAGAAAAATGAACAAAAGTAAGAAGAAAGCCTAGGGGACCTATAAGATAGCATCAAGCAGACTAATATACATATTACAAGACTCTAAGAAGGCATTAAGGGGAAAGAAACAAAAATACTCTGGGAATGCTTCCCAAATCTAAAAATGATTGATATTCAGATCTACGAAATCAAATGACCTTGAATTGTATGAACACAAATAAGTCCATACAAGACACAGTATAATCAAACTATCAAAAGTCAAAGACAAAGAGAAAATTTTGAAAAGTGGGGAAAAAAGCAACTTGTCACAAGCAAGGTAACTCCAATAAAAATATCAGCAAATTTCTCAATTGAAATCTTGTGACCAGAGGGTGTAGAAGAAGTTTCGAAGTGCTTAAAGAAAGAAATCAAAGTGCCTGCTGCCAAGATATCACACCTAACAAAACTGTACTTCAAAAATAAAGGAGAGGGGCAGGCAAGGTGACTCAGTGGTATAGTGCTTGCCTTGCATGCATGAGGCCCTGCATTCGATTCCTTAATAGTGCTTGCCTTGCATGCATGAGGCCCTGCATTCGATTCCTTAACACCACATAAGGAGAAAAAGCTGGAAGTGATGTTGTGGCTAGCCTTGAGCTGAAGAGCTGAGGGACAGTGCCTAGGCCCAGAAATCAGGCCCCAAGACCAAAAAATAAATAAATAAATAGTAAATGAGAAAGGCCAGGCACTGGTGGCTCGCGCCTGTAACCCTAGTTTCTCAGGAGGCTGAGATCTGAGGATTGTGATGCAAAGCCAGCCTGGGCAGGAAAATATGTGAGACTCTTATCTCCAATTAACCACCAGAAAACCAGAAGTGTCTCTGTGGTTCAAATGGTAGAGTGCTTGCTTGCCTTGAGCTGCAAAATTCAGGGACAATGCCCAGGCCCAGAGTTCAAGCCTCATGACTGACAAAAGAATAAAATAAAATAAAAAATAAATGAAAAAGTCTTTCTCAAACAAAAGCTAAGGCAGTTCAGCACCACTACAGTTGCCTCATAAGAAGTGTTAAAGGAAGTTCTTCAAGTTGAAATGAAAAGACAATAAAGAACACATCAATAAGAAAGTATGAAACCTGTTGATAAATGTAAATATATGAACATATATAAAATACTCAAATATTATAATTGTGGGTAAATCACTTCTAATTCTAGGATAAAAGTTACAAGAGAAAAGTATTAAAATTACTCAAAATGAATCAAAGCATATCAATACAAAAATCATCAAAATATAAAGAAAGACAGCGAGAGAAAAGGCAGTTGACATAACTAAAACTAACAGAAAACATTTCTCAAAATGGCAATTGACTATCCTTGACTATTAATCCAAAATTGCAGCAAAAGCAGTACTCCGAGGGAATAAGTACTAACAGTTTTAGCAATAAATAACTAGAGGAAGAAAAATGATCTCAAATAAATGATCCAATTTTGTCCTTCAAGGAATTGAAAAAGAAAAACAAACTAACCCCAAAATTAGAAGGAAAAATAAATATTATGAGCCGAAATAAAGCAGAGAAAAGAAAAACAGGAAAAAAAACTGAGTTGGTTATTGAAAGATAAACACTCAAGAAAGTTTACCTGGATTTATCAACAGAGAAAACACAAAATCAAAAATGAAAGAGAAATTACTACTGATGCCACAGAGATCATAAGAAATTACAATGAACACTTATATGCCAAGAAAATGCATTAACTTGAAAAAAAGATGAATTTCTAAAAATATACAATTGAATGAGTAATCAAAATCTTCCAGATAAGCCAAGTGCCTTTGCTCATGCCTATAATCCTAGCTACTCAAAAGCTGACATCTAAGGAACACAGTTCAAAGCAGCCTTGGCAAGAAAGTCCATGAGACTGTTATCTCCAATTAACCACCAGAAAACTGAAAGTGAAGCTATGGCCCAAAGTGGTAGAGCACTAGCCTTGAGGTTAAAGCTTAGAGACAGTACACAGGCACTGAGTTCAAGAGCCAGACTGGCCAAAAGAACAAAAGATATATTTACAAGAGGGCCAGAAAAATCTAAGTTACAAATTAAAACAATCACTAATAATATTTAAATGTAACATTCACCAGAAAGCTTAGCAGTCATAAAGCTCAATATGTACATGTGAAAATGGAATGAGACATTTGAGGGTGTGAGTTGAGTAGGGAAAGACAGGGAAGCATGGAAGAAATGACACTGATCAAGATGCACTGTACTCATAAACAAGTTGAATTGAAACTCTGGTCTACATCTACTTAAAGATAATAAAAAATACTCAAAAAAAGAAACAAAATTTGTTTTACTTTTAACTATAAAAGACTATAAGGGCTGGGAAGGTGGCTCAGTGGTAGAGCGCTTGCCTTGCATGCCTGAGGCCCTGGGTTCGATTCCTCAGCACCACATAAGCAAAAAAGAAAAAAGCCAGAAGTGGTGCTGCGGCTCAAGTGGTAGAGCGCTAGCCTTGAGCTGAAGAGCTGAGGGACAGTACCCCGGCCCAGAGTTCAGGCCCCACGACCGGACCCCCCCTTAAAAAAAAAAAAGACTTATAAGACTATAAAGTCATAATTTATTTAATGACAAAGAAGTAAAAGTTGAATTATGTTAACTGTCCGGTATGAATAGTCATGCCCAAACGAAAATGGAACAACTCTAAAGCAAATTTTTATCCATTTTGCCTTTGCTACCAACAGGTCTAACCCAGACATGTTGAGAGATAGGCTGAGTATCACGTAATTTGCTTGAGTATCAGGCAAATTTAACACAATGAATTCACACATCTAACAATTCTTCCTATACCTATGTGCGGACAAAAGTGTAAGAAAATGAATAGAAATTAAAAGCCAATTAAAATTAAATGTTAAAAGCTGGATAAAGTTCCATGAATAAGGATTTTGATTTAATTTCCCTCACTTTTCCCTCACTAGGCTAAGCAACTTTTCAGTCTAAGCTTGTTACTATTACTCTTCCATTTCTTTTAGGAAATCTGTAAGTAGTTTTGTCTCCATAATAATGCTATAACTGATAGTTACCACCTTGCAATATGCTACCTTTAATGCTCCAAAGAACAAAGCCAAAACTCATTTATTGTCTATTTAAATGTTTTACCAAACACCAATGTTTTAAAGGTTTTTGTTTTTGTTTTTTTTGTTGGTTGTGGGTCTTGAACTCTGGGCCTGGGCACTATCCCTTGGCTCTTCAGCTCAAGGCTAGCACTCTACCACTTGAGCACTTCTGGTTTTCTGGTGGTTAATTGGAGGTAAGAGTCTCACAGACTTTCTTGCCCAGGGTTGGCTTTGAACTGCAGTCCTCAGATCTTAGCTTCCTGAGTAGCTAGGATAACAGGAATAAGCCATTGGTGTCCAACTTAAAGTTTTAGTTTTAATTTTCATGATGGCAAATAACTAAAACATATTCTAAACCCTACCAAAAATATACTGACTCTAATATAATGTGTTTATAAATCATAAAGAATGTTTATAGTTTTGATCTGTGTTCATGTAATAATTCCTTATTGTATTAATACTTTTAAGGGTTAATTTTCTGTTTGTTTTTGCACAGATTTGATAAATAGGTTGGGGGGGTGTAATTACAAAGATTACAAAATAAACTTAAATTTTCAGCACTGTAATAATGCAAATTTCTTACCAGGACTATCTCTCCTAAACCAAGCTGAGCACGACCCAAAGTTTGCCAAGATTCCCATGAATGTGGATTTTGCTGGACAGCCATTTCTGCTGCATGTACTGCTGGGAACATTTCATGAAGAGACATTAAGACCTGTATGCCAAAAAGATGAGAAAACAGGATCTGTTAGTTGTGTGTGTGTGTGTGTGTGCGTGTGTGTGTGTGTGCGTGTGTGTGCGTGTGCATATATAGCAAACTACTAACAAATGAGCATATATAAACAAACATTTTCACTTTCTGGGGCAGGGGAATGTACATGTGTGCATGTATGCCAATCCTGGGGTTTGAACTCCCTGCACAATGTCCTTGAGTTTTTTTATGCTCAAAGCTAGTGCCCTACCACTTTGAGCAACAGTACCATTTCTAGCTTTTTAGTACTAGTTAACTGGCATCTAAAGGAAGGTCTTCTTATCACTGGATTCAGTGGACTAAATGTATTTGTGCTGATAAAGCATGTGTCTCCAGTTTGGACTCACCATCTTAAAAAAAATTTGTTAGGAGTACAGATCCTGCCTGAATTACAATTTCTTCCCAAAAGAAGAGAGAGAGAGAGAGAGAGAGAGAGAGAGAGAGAGAGAGAGAGAGAGAGAGAGAGAGAGAGAGAGAGAGAGAGTGTGTGTGTGTGTGTTGCCCCTGAGGTTTTTCTGCTCAAGGCTAGTGCTCTATCACTTGAGCCACAGCTTCATTTCCTGCTTTTTTTTTTTTGGTGGGGGGGGGGGGGGTGTTGGTTAATTGGAGATAAGAGTCACAGAGTTTTCTGCCTAGTCTGGCTTTGAACCATAATCCTCAGCCTCCTGAGAAACTAGGATTACAGGTGTGAGCCACCAACACCAGGCCAAAAGGATATTTAATCCCCATAAATAATATGATTTTTAAAGTTAAATAAATTTTATTTGAACAGAAAATATTTTGGCACATCAATGCTCACCAAACAAAGCACAATTTCATAAGGAATGAAATTCTTTATAATTACCTGTGATTTCATCTCATAGAGGGTAGCATCATTGGGAGTTAACTGTAGTGCTTCATCCCACTTCTGAATTGCTTCCCGGTATCTGTGGTTGTTAAAGTTACATTAATATCATATTTTTCAATAAGTCTTTGAGAGTACTATGACCACATTTTAAAATCAAGAACTAGCCAAACACCAGTGGCTCACACCTGTAATCCTAGCTACTCAGGAGGCTCAGATGTATGACTGTAATTTGAAGCCAGACAGACAGAGAAGTCAGCAGAAGTGGGGCTGTGGCTCAAGTAGTAGAGTGTTTGCTGTAAGGTCCACTCCTGGAAGGCAAGAGACTCTACCCTCCTCGCAGCAAAGTCTCCACCCAGTACCCAACTGGCACACCTGGAAGAGGTCACATCTGCATCCGCTGAGGTCACATCTGGATTCCATGTGGCCATACCTTTCCCTGCCCCTACCCTAGATAAGGCCTAGCCCAGGGCCAGACGCCCTCTTTCCCAGGCCTTTCCCAGCCAAGTGGAGTGCACACATGGCCTGGTGCCAGCCCGACCGATGAATAAACCTCCCCCTTACCTGAATACATGTGCGTGGTGTGGTTCTTACTCAGCAACCTCTTTTAAAAACCTAACATTAGCCTTGAGCAAAAAACTCAGGGACAGTTCCTAGGCCCTAAAAGTTGAAGCCCAAGGATCAGCAAAAATTTTAAAAAGTTAAAAAAAAAAATCAAGAACTAAGAAATAAATTGCTTACCAAGAAATATCTAGGGGCTGGGAAGGTGGTTCAATGGTAGAGCACTTACCTTGCATGCATGAGGCCCTGGGTTCGATTCCTCAGCACCACATAAGCAAAAAGAAAAAAGCCGGAAGTGGCGCTGTGGCTCAAGTGGTAGAGCGCTAGTCTTGAGCTGAAGAGCTGAGAGACAGCGCCCAGGGCCAGAATTCAGGCCCCACAACTAGACCCCCCCCCCCAAAAGAAATATCTACCATGGTACTGTCCAAAAAGAAATGTACTCTTTCATTGACTTATATAACTGCAACTCCTCTGCACATATCACCTTTATAATAATTTTTTAAAAATTAAATATCTCCTCAAAATATGATAATGTTAAAGAAAATCTGAAAAATAAAAGAATGAAAGGGAAGGACAGCAAAAGAAAAAAAAGACAAAATATAAATAAAAAAGCTGTTAAAAATTTTTATCCAAGGTTTTGTTTTTTGTACTTTGTAAGCTGAGAAATCACTGCTAAAATATTTTTTTCTTTTTCTACTCACTCCAATATCATAATATATTCTCATTCATTTTAGAAATATTATAAAGTCCTATTCCTAGAAATTTACAACTCACTTGTAACCCTGGGTCCTGCTACAAAAACCTAGCTGACAAGAGATAACTGTTTATAAAGTAGCCAGGAAATTTTATAATGATGCACCAGTTTTAAGTTTCTTTGTCTATAGGAGAAAGAACTATATTAATCCATTCACAATGATAAACTAAAGAATGACTGAAATGAACAAAACCAATATGTAAATGACTTCCACTACCACCTAGTCATTGCTGTTTTTCCCGATCAGTCTTTCTCTTAAGCTTCGGAGCCAGTCAACAAATATCTATACCCAGACTCCCAGACAGTTCAATCTTAGTATATCTCAAGCTTACCTTAATACACCTCATGCCAACTCTGAAACCCTTTTTTTTAAATAAAATAAACTACCACCACCCTAAGCTTTCAATGCTTAGGAGCACAGCTCCTATTTCCATCAATTTAAGCACTTATACCAAGTGTCAGGGTTGTAAACAACTAAAACCATCTGTCACAGTATCAATCATATCTGTCACAGTCCTATTATGTATTATCTTCTCTTGTTCTCTTGGATCATTTTTTGTATTTGTTTCCCTGAAACTTTTTATTTTTTTTGGGGGGGGGGGGGAATCATGGGCTTGAACTCTGGGCCTGAGCACTGTCCCTGAGCTTTTCACTCAAGGCTAGTTCTCTACCACTTTGAGCCACAGCATCACTTCCAGTTTTCTGGTGGTTAATTGGAGATAAAAGTCTCATGTGGGGGCTGGGAAGGTGGCTCAGTGGTAGAGCGCTTGCCTTGCATGCATGAGGCCCTGGGTTCGATTCCTCAGCACCACATAAGCAAAAAGAAAAAAGCCGGAAGTGGCGCTGTGGCTCAAGTGATAGAGCGCTAGCCTTGAGCTGAAGAGCTGAGGGACAGTGCCCAGGCCCAGAGTTCAGGCCCCATGACCGGACCCAAAAAAAAAAAAAGTCTCATGTGCTTTTCTTGCCTGGGCTTGCTTTGAACCCTGATCCTCAGATCTCAGCCTCCTGAGTGATTAGGATTACAGGCATGAGACAGTAGTGCCCTGCTCCACTGCTTTTATTTTAAAAACATAACCAATGCTGTTAGCAGAGATGTGGCTAAATAAAATTGGCTTGCTCTCTTCTTTCATTCTTCTCTCTGGTTTACTTTCCGGTGGCACCCCTTTGTTCCTCCACAGGATCATAGGAAACTTGGCATGTAATAAATCAATGGTCTCTCATAACTCACGTAGCATATCTCTTAATTCAACTTCAGTTTGGAACACACTAAAAAGACACAGCCCTGTTGCAGCTGCTGGATAGGAAGCACTGAAAGATAAACACTTGGTTTAAAGTCACTGTAGTTAATAAATGACCACAGTCTGATTCAGCCAGTTTAAAGACAACCTTACAGTATTCAATTGAACTAACACAAGGAAGGAAGCAAGGTGAATAGTCAGTCCCAGGGGTTATACAAGGGCAAGTAAAATAATAAATATCCTACAATAAGGCAAAGAACAGCTGGTGATCAAGACAAGAAAGTTAGATAGCATGCTCATATACCAGACAGAAATGCCAGTGTGCTTAGCTATTCTGCTCCAAATTAGATTTATCTATAGCTTCAAATTTAATGAGCTATATAGTTAACAACTTATTGATTTAACAAATATTTACACAGTACTTTCTGTGGGCCAGGCAACATTCTAGGTACTTAGAATGCTACATTCAACAAGATATAGAAGATCCTTATTGTATTTCTAGATCTTACTTTCTAAAGTACATGCATGTAAGAAGAGCAGAGGGTAAGAAAGACATAAAGTTCAAATATAAGTGCTAGGATTTAAAAAGTAAATGGAAAGATGTGATAGTAATGACCAATGTAATGACTCAGAACAACGATCAGGAAAAGACTGCTCTAGAAAGGCACCTGAGCTGAGACTTACAAAACAACAAAGGGTGGTCATCTAAAATCTGGAGAATGCCCATTCTCAACAATGGAAGAGCCCTAGGCAGGATCAAACATTCCATTCTCTAAAGCAAGGAAACAATCTATGAGGCTACAATAAGAAGGAAGAGAAGGAAGAGGTCAGAGGAGTAAATCAAAGTTATGATCACAGAAAATCTAATAGGCCATAGTTACAGATGTAGATTTAATGTAAGTGTGTGTGGAAAACCCAATTTTTTTAAACAACTGAGAGATTAATTCATTTACACTTTAGAAAATTAATTAAGGCCAGAGGAGGAAAATGGATCCTAAGAATATAAAAATGTGCATAGGAAACAACAGTTACAAGACGATAACAGATTACCATAGATTAAGAAAATAAACAGTGAAAACCGAGGTGAAAAAAGATTCAGAATATGTGAAAAAGGTAAAGTTAACTGAAGGTGAACTGAACAGGAAGAAAAGACAAAGAAAAAAATTACGGATGATTTGTATTTTGGGTGATATATAAAACAGAGCCTGAGGCCAATGCCTGCTAGCCATCTGTGTGCTAGTGGTAGGATCCCCAGGGAATCAAGAATGAGGAGAAAAGAGGAATAAGGAGAATAAATACAATACCAAGTTAAACTAGCAAAAGCTGCACAAACACACACATATGATCACACTCTTTGTGAAACTTATGAAACAGTCCATTATTGGGAAATAAGGAAAAACAAGTCATGTGCAGGCTTTTACTAGTACCCTGTTCCCTCACCAGTTGGAGTCTGATCCACAAGGCCTTAACCCCAGCCCTTCAGAACTTAATTAAACAGGTCAAGTCTAGTTATACTTGTATACATTCTAATAGAGAAAATTAGAGCCTTTATATTTAGACAATCAAGTATCACCACCTAGTGGTTAAAGCTACACACTGATTTAAGAATATTGGGACCTACACTGTTACTCTTGTGGAGTTATATTCTAGCCAGATATAATTTTAGAAACATATTTAAACAAAACAATACATGAAATATTGTAATAACATATGATACCCTAAAGTCCACAGTATATTTACTTGGTGCTTACTAGGTACTAGGAGGCATGTTATACTTTTACCTGGGCCTACTCTTTAATCTTCCAATATTTTATAAAATATGTATCACCATTTTACATATGAGAAAATAAAAGTGACAGAAATTAATAACTCAAGGTTTATACACACAGAAATTATAAAGTAGGACTTGAATGCAGATAAAGTGAATTCAAAATTCACTCTCAACCACTAGATTAACTATCTTCACCTTTAAAAAGCACCAAATTACTTAAGGTTCAGATGGGAAGTGAGCCAGTCTTTTAATTCATAAATCTTACATAATAAAACTGCAAAAGTAAAATAGCTAAATGGCAAAATAAATCTGAGTTACGTGTTACTGTAAACTAGGCTGAAGAAGATTCTGGTGCAGAAGTGCTGACCGCTTTTGGAAGAGGGTTAACATTGACACACCTGGATCATGGCAAATTAGAGTTATCTTTCAAGTTAGATAATAAATATTAAGAGTTTAAAGAAAGAAAAATGAAAAAACAAAACAAAACAGGGGCTAGGTACAGTGGTGCAAATCTGTAATCTCAGCTCTAGGGAGGTAGAGTTCCAAGGATCCAAATTCAAGGTACGCCTGGGCTGTATAGTGAGTTCAAGATCAATAGGCTACCTAATGGGCTACCTATGAGTTAAAGAACAGCCTGTGTCACACAGAGAAAACACTGTCTGAAAAAATAAATTTAAAAAACAGAATAGAAAACTACAAAAAAAAAAAAAAGTGAAAAGAAACTATTCTCTTCTTTATCAATTTCTCTCAATGTTTTA